TGCTTTCCCAGAACACTTGCTTTTTAATTATGACACACATGGTTTCCTCTCTCCTACACATATGCTATTCTTTCCTCTAGAGTCCTTTGTGCTATTTTTTCCTCCACTTCAAGACTGCTATCCCCATATCCCTAATCTGAGCTTCTTTCCTTCCTCTATAATTTTGGAGACTCAAAGCTAGTATTTATATTCCTTAGTCTGCCCTGAACCAGGACCACTGGTTCCACAGAACCACAGAACCAGACATCCCCTCACCCCCCAGTGATACTCACCCCACTCATTCCCACCCATAGCCCCAGTCTTTGCTGGGTCTTGGAGGTGCCTAAATGGAGTAAAGTTGGAGATGTCCTCAAGACTATTGAAGGAGTCAAGAAGAGAGAGGAATTTTACTCCAAGTTAGCAAAAGAACAGGGGATGAAAGAAAGAGTCAGGAAAATGTGATCCTGGATATTTCCCATGAAGATATTATTAATGTGGAATTCCCTTCGCTCATTCATTCATTTTTCTTCAACAAATTTCTGTTGAGTACTTTTTTTACCCCGAGTGCTATGTCAGGTCCTAGATAGCTAAGAACAGCAGGAATTTATGTGTGCCAAGCAATGTGCTAAGCACTTTATGACCACTTTCTCATTTAACCCTCAAAATAACCCAGAGAAGCAGGTTTGATGGTTATCCTCACTCTAAAGTAAAGAGCTGTGATCAGTCAAGTTAAATAGCTTGCTGAAGTTCACAGTTAATAAAATAACGCCACTATATTCTTTTGCTTCTCAAGTTAGGATCAAATATATTGTGTATTAAGGATTAAGCATCTTGCGTATTATAGCAATTATTAAGCGCCATAAGGAAGTTTCTTATTTCTAAGGGAGGGGGTAGACTTTCAAACAACCAATATGCAAACTGCCTGTTGGTAAATTAGGAACCGACTCTAGCCTACTTGTCTTAGGAATATTGTTATTAATTTACATAATACAAACACATTCTTATCTAAATATTGTATTTGAAATCCAAAAGAATATATACTATATATACATATGCAAAATATCTCCATCTTAAATTTTTCAATTTTTCTAGCCATGAAATGATCTTTGCCGTTCTTCTTGCTATAGCAAGGTGCGTTGCAAGGAGTAGCCTCATTCCACAGACAGACACAAACACCACAAAAACCTCTAGAGGGTATCTGTGGGATTCTGCTGCATCTACTTTTCCATCCTCCAATCAGAGACGTTGAGTCTCTTCTCTGGACCAATGAAAGGGGATATTTTCAAAAGACACTCAAGCTGCGGGACAGAAAATTTAAAAGAATTCAGTTTACCAGAGAGCGTTCAACTGTGTTCCGGCGCCCCCTAGCCGCATGGAAGCGGCTTCTCGTTGCCTAAGCTGCTCAGCCCAAAGCTTAACTCAAAACACTGTTCGTGCAAGAGCAAAGATTTTATCTCCTGTCTCCCTTGTTTACTTTTCTGAATGCACTGTTGTTATTGCATTCAGCTCCGGAGGCCGGGTGAAAGTAAAGCAGCCATGGTCAGAGGAGGGTACTCAAAGCAGAGAATGAAAAGGCAAATGTTAGTGTGGGGATCCTTTTTAGTGATGCTTTATGAATGTCTTACAAAGATAACATCAATTCCCCGGTCAATATCTTTATTGGTTTTTTTCCCCAAAGGGACTGGGCTGAATGTGCTCACTTCTTAAAGCACCTGGGTCTCACATCCACCCTCTGCTATTTTTCTGTGTAATGTCAATTCATCCTTACACAACCCGCAGGCGGAGGGCATGGAGGGAGTCTGACAGGAAGCCTCATCAGACACAGCAAAAGCAGCTACCTGGCAAGTCGTGGAGAGATATGTCCCAAAGGCCTTCCCACACATCGAGAGCTACTGCCAAGCAAGAGAAGCTTTAGGAATGGGAAAATTAGAGATGTTTTAGCTTTCTCTTCCTTACCAAAGCCTACTGTTACTGTTGCTGTCGAAAGACAACAGAAGACATCCCCAGCGGCTTCCAGCGCCGTCAAAGCTCTGCCTTCAGGGCACTGACATTTCCGTGTGTTTCTTTCTCTCCTATTCCACAAGAGCACTCGAGGAATTATAAAGTGCCAAACAGATGTAGCATAATATATTGGTTAAAGTGATCCATACTGTCACCAACAGAGTACTGCTGAATAGGTAGAATGGAGTCACTGATTGTTTCTTTGAATGGAATTAAATGAAATCTTTGAGTCTGCAAATAGTAATTCAGCACCTGGTAGGTGCAAGACACTATTCTGGGAATCAGAACAGCCAAAATAATTCAGTTGCTTTCTCTGCCTTTAAGGACCCTGCTTTCTAGTGGAGGAAGACATATTATAAGGGGATGGAAAGGCAGAGTGAGACATGGTGGGTAATATAAATGGCATGCTATGGGTGTATTAGGAGGGGAAAAAATCCTTTGCCTGTGATGGAGACTGGGTCAAAAGAGAGGCACCAGGAACAACTTTATAGGTTGAAGAACATTTAAACAGAAACTAGAAGAATGGACAGGGTTTTAACAGTCCTTGAAAAGGGATCACAGAGCATTATGGGAAAAAGAAACTTCAAGAAGAGAGAAGTGGAGGTGAGAAAGTTAATGGAGCCCTCTGGTGTCTTCCAGGCCTCCAGTGAGAACCACATGGATGGGGAGTTCCGGAAAAGCTGACAGGATGGTTGTGGACTGATTGTGAAAGGCCTTGAACTCCGTGTGAAGGAGTTTCCATTTATTGTGAAGGCATTGGGTATCACACAAGTATTTCTGACTGAGGAACTGGCTTTATTAGATTGAGGTTGTAGAGGGAAGTATGAAGCTTATGGAGACTGGATGAGAGAGGGGGGCCTGGACACAATTAGAGAGGATGGATGAGGCAGCAATCTGTCCCCAAGAGAGAGGAAGAGGGTCTGAACTGGGACCGTGGTGCTGGGAACCAGAAGGGAGTGGATGACTTGATTCAGCCTGACAGTCCAGATTATTCTTCGGCTGCCCAGAGGTGGGTTGCACCCTCACTGCGCTGCACTGTATTTAATAGCTGACAACGGTACCATTCTCTGGTTTTGTGCTGGCTTTCTTTTCAACAAAGCTCCACATAAATGCAGCTTTCTATTAGTTTCTACTCCTAGCACGCTCATGATCCTCTTTCCTACTCTTAACATAACTCTATTTTGTGCTGAATGATATAGTTACCCACAGCAAACTAGCTCATTTTCTAGATTCAGAGATCTTAAACAAATGAACCAAAAAAACCCCACCACGGAATAAAGTTCCCGCAGTGACCAGTGTCAGAATGAGAACAGACACAGGTGTTCTGAGCTTCAGCACTTAACGCTCAGCCACCTTTGCTTCCCACTATTCTCAACCTACTGATGTCACACATGAATTAACAATATGCAAAACCTCTTCTGTCCTTCCACGTGGTATAAAGCGCTTTAGTGCTATAGCATTAAGCAACATTTAGACAATTAATGCATGTCTGCTGTCATAATGCAGTGATTTTGCCAGAACATACACAGGAGAATGTAAATGGATTAAACGCATTTATATCTCTAGGAAAATTGAGAGGCTGTGTCAAAATAAAATATCACCGTGCATAGTTTACCTTTTCATTTTTTCTTTAATTATTAGACAAATTTATGCCTGAGTTAGACGTCTGAATTTGAGACAGATTAAGGTTATTTATACCTAATTCCAATTAGAATATATGAAATCGTGGTTTCTAAAATATGTAGGATTCTGTATGCACATTATCATAGATTTGAAATTATACAAAACACTCTTTCTTTCAGCCTCATGTAAACAGTACAGTAAGTGAAAACAAGTTGAAGAGTTGAAAGAGAATATTTGGGGGACAATGTTTCATGGCAGCCCTTCCTCTCATAAGCAGCAGGGGCAGCTCCACCACCAGCCACAGGGCCAGCTCTCCCTTCTTTCATTTTGGAACATTCAGGGAGTGAGAGCAGATCCCATAAGGACTTAATGCTTCCTAGGGTCTCTTTCTGCTCTGTGATTCTATAGTTCCTTGTGGCTCCCAGAGGATTCTGGACTGAGAGCATTGGTGCCACCTGGGGGCAGGTGAAAGATCTCTGATGTGTTAACAAAGGCACACACAGGACAGCTGAGCAGCAGGGTGGGTAGGAAACTAAAACTGTGGCGTTATTACTCAGCTTTTTGTTGTCATTGTTGTATTAAACTTCCACTACTTTACAGATTCCTACTGTGGGTTAGAGAAATGTTACTTCCTTGCCCATTTTGGAGGTAGGGTCCCAATAATTGCTCTCAGATCGTCTGGTGAGCACCCCTCCCAGAGAGGCACCTGATTCCTTACTAGAGTTCTCTCTCTTCTGTGTTCTGGGCAGAATTCAGAAGATCAAGTCCAACCCAACCAATTACTTCTTAAGGTGAGAGAGGTGCAGGGCCAGCATGAGTGTAAGGTCACTGTCCAATCAACAAAGAAAGAGCCCAGCTGAAGTGGACTGCAGGCACAGGGAGCACTGAGGGGAAGCTGTGCCATGCTTTCTTTCCGGAGATTCCCCACTCTAATAGCTACTTTTTGATTTCTACAGATTAACGCCAGCAAATTAGCATAATGACATTACCCAGACGTCTTTGCAATTGTTTTCTTTCAAAGGTCCCTGTAACTGAGGTTGGAGAATGTAATGGATTAAGAAAAAGAGATGGAAAATTGCCATATTTAATATTGTTTCCACAGAAACTGACATAGTTTATGGAGCAGAGGAATATAATGTAATTTACTTCTCCATCCCTGCTGGAGAGAGAAGGAGGGGTATAGGGGAGCAGAGGATGCAGTGACGAAGCACAGTAGTTATGGAGATGATGTAGCTGCTAAAGGGGCAACTCCCACAGCACCTTCTGCTCTCAGAGGCGAAGCGAGCAGAGCCAGGTTAGCTACCTGTAAAATCTATGTGTGATCAGAATAGCATTTCAGCGAAATTAAACTTGGGACAGTTCCTAGATAATAGATACATGAATGTGTGAGAAAAGACCTTGGTCGTATGGCCTGATCTGTGGCAAGTGCAAAATCAGAATCACTGGTGGAGAACACCAGGGACAAGCACACGAATTGCCTTCACTCTATTACACACATACCAATTGCTATAATATTGAAGAAAATATTCATAAATCCCTTTTTCCTTTTGCTGCTTTATGCTTCATCGCCTTTTCCCCATTTGTAGTTTATAGATGGAATGAAGAAAAAATGTAGAAGGCAAATGGCAAGGAGGGAGGATGTTTTCTAGAGGCAGAATGGTCAAGAGGCAGGTCTTTCGCACCAGGCAACCAAATTAATTCCTGACCCAGCCTTTTACTAGCTGTACGACCTCAGTAAAGATTCTTAACTTCTTTTAGCTTCATCTGTAGAATAGAAATATTTTCAATGATGGCAGGAAAAGAACAGAAGCAAGTTCCATTGTCACTAAGGTGATGAGTGTCAAGGAAAAGCAAACTAAATAGTTTGGTGTTTGTTTGTTAAGGAGAGGATGATGAAATTTAGAAAGAACAATCAGAATTAAATAAATATTGATATAATTCATGTTAGTAGATATAATATACAGGCAAAAACACAACAAAAGTTTTACTTACTAGCATTTTTGATATAGTTTAAATCCTTGACACTTACTTTTGTGCTTAGTTTGGTTTGTCCCAAAGTACCAAAGAACCAGAAATAGAAATATGTATAATGCAACAAAGATAAAGAGTTCGTCTTCTGACCTTTGGGGGACGTACTTAAAAATAAATAAATAAATACATAAATAAGATTAGAGAATTTAAACTAAGGAATAATCTCATTAAGTCAATTACAGGAACTTGAGAAAGAAGATGAAAATGAAGATAACACAGAAGATAAAATAAAGGCAAGAGAAAGTTTCCTGAGACTAGTTTCTTTTCATAATTTGCCGAGCAAATGCTTCGTTCCCATGGTCTCATTCTTTAGTTTAGGAAGAAAACGGCATGAAGAAGTTTCCAGGTGAAAAAATGTAATTTAGCATAGACAAAATGTTTACCTCTATGTGTAAATTCCACAGGTTATGATTAGAAAAAAATGAAGCTTAGTGCAAGGAGCAAGAGGCAAGTCCTGGGTCTGTCTATTCCCTCCGTTATCTATGGAAGTGATTCCCCATTTGTGGTTTAGAGAAAGAACAAAAAACTGTGGAAGACAGATGATGGATAAGAGTGTTTCCTAGACACTGTATTGCACATGATTGCATTGTGGATCAAATGAGATACATGGTAAAAACTTAGTTTAAACTATAAAGTGTCATTTAAGTATAAGGCTATCTTTGTTATACTTACGGTCTCTTATAGTATTTGAGTATACTAATCATATTCATTTACTTATTTATTCCTATAATTTAAGATACACAAATTCCTAATCTGCCAATGTGGACACTGGCTGAGAGTAGAGTTGCCATAGTTGTATCATCACTCAGGCTAACAATATTCGTGTAGACAATATAGTCCATTCATGAAAGTAATATGGGCCAGACAAAATCTGCCTATTCACAGCCTTTCTGCACACTTGCTTTGATAAAAATGTACAATTATACTTCAAAAGCCTCAACAGACAAAAAACTTCACTGTTGGTTGTTTCTTTATTTTCTCCAGGCCTAAGAATTACATCCACTCATAAGCAATGGACTCTCTGGATAAATAATTAATGGTTACTTAACAAGACTTGAGAACTTTCCTGCCATTATTTTGATTATGTTAGGTTCACAAGGTGACTCTTTCAGGAAATGTGAATGGCATTTACCCGAGAAAGCAGTGATTCATTTTTATCTGTTTTTAGAAAAGCTTTTGTTTCATTATCATGAAGTAAAAAATAGAGCCTGAAGAAAATCAAAGCAAATCTGATTTGAGAATAGCTGGGGCTTTGATTAAGCTGTCTTAGGGATGCTAGATCCATTTAGTACTTACATGATATTATTTATTTATGATTTTGATTTATGTGGAACTTCCCGTGGGAGCTCTCCTGTGAAGACCATCCTTGCAGCCATGGTATTCATGAGTCGGCACTCAACTGTTCTCTGTTTATGCTGTAGTCTTGGGTTCTTGTAGCCACATCCTTCAGAGGAGACTTAAACTCAAGGCTTGATCCTGGGCAGTGGTTGAGGATCCCGCGACACGTCTAAGTTTCAACGCCTGGCCAAATTCCAATTTTGGCCCCTTCTTCTTCATGTTCCCATGGTTCCTTAGAGAAGACTTTTTGCGTTAAATTGCCTTGTTCTTGTTGAGCTGCAGTTGTTAAGCAGCTGCCTCATTGTGCTCTCCACGTGGTAAAATTCCTGTTGAAAACTGAGAGAGAATTACCATGACGGAAGGGGGCAAAACACAAAACAATGACAACAATGCGAGAGGCAGTAGGAATGCAATTAGAGTGTGTGGCAGTGAGTCTCTTAAGGCAGATATTCAATATACACTTGGAAGGCAATAATGACCTTGGTTATTTTTAGAAAATCTTACTTTCTTCTCCCTGTGGATGTTACCCAAGACTCCATGGAGCAGTATGACTGACTTAGCCCTGGGTAAGAGAGATCCCTCCTGGAGTTTCATGCTTTAGAGCATCCTCCCCACCAGCTGTACCCCTCCTCAAGGCGTGAGGAATCTTTGGGGGTCAAAAAGATATGCCTACCCAGGGCCTGCACCACCCCTTCTAGTCTATGGTCTAGGTTCAGAGGACTCCAAAATTCTCTACCCAAGTAGCCCTGTGCCTGCTCCCATGGTCTGTAAGGAACTCTCCTTCCAATGGCAAACCATCCTACCAGCCTAGGGCAGAGGGGTGGCCGAGCCTGCAGTGTTTGCATGGGGTGTAGATGAAGCTTGAATGTGTAGCCTGGGGGTGTCCACAAGGATGTGAGTCCCCTCATAGTGCTGACTGAGCCAGGGGTGAGAAGAGACAGGAAGGCCATTGGTCAGGGGTCAGGGTTCTCCTGTGATACCATGTTCTGGTACAGAATTATGAGCAGTTTTAGATTTTTAAATTTTAATCTGGTCTTATAGGTAATTATGAAGACATATTGTCAAGGTGGGATGGTAAAATATATTTTATTATCAGTTTGTTACCTTGATTCATAATGGTCAAATATTTAGATATATGGCATATAGACTTCTATTTTTATTCTTGACCCAGGCTCTGGAAACAAAGGCTGGCCTACAATGTTGTTATACTTTCTCCTAACATTTCCTTCTCTTTTAAGTGAAAATAATCTAGACACTGCAACAGTATTAAAACTTCATCATTTCATCCCAGTCACAACCTGATAAAAAGTTGTTAACTTGCTTCCTGGCCAAAGTACTACATTCAAAGTTTTACTGAACCTCCCCAGCAATACTAAGAATCAGAATGCTGTCTATGCTAAAAAAATTCTGCATGAGTTTCTACACAAACTTTCCCTACATCCTCACTACAACCCTTTTCCAAGCTCATCATAGGAACCCATTGAGCATGCCTATGAGATGTCTGGGAAGCACTGAAGGCCACACAGATGTAATGCATCATTGTTAGTCTCATCTCTCAGTATCACCTCCCTTCCTCAGTGACTTCCTTAAACCATTGCCAAAGATGTGTTCAATCAGCCCATTCTGTGCCCAGCCATAAAATCAAACTTTTGTATATATAGTCTCCTCTTCCTTTTCTTCCTCAAACCCGTCTTCCCCACAACAAAGCAGAGAATTTGCAGCTGAGATTATCCAGGAGAAAATAAGAATAGTTATTAACATGTACTCGGCTCTTGTGAGCAGACATAGGCTCGGCACTACCATGCTGTAGGTACAAGGATTATTACCATATAACAGCTGAATAAATTGAGGTTTATGTAGTTTAACTAACTTTTCAGACCCAGGAATTCTGACTTTGGAGTATACTCATTTAATCACTTCACAGTGACTGCCTCCAGAATATCGGATTGTTTCTTCTGACTCCACCAAAATCACCTTCAGCAGCCTCTGGCTGCCATTTTTAAAAGCTATTACTGGCCCCAGGAGAATGTGAAGCCTTGCAAATGTGCAAGTAGTCATCAGCTTCATTATTATTATTTTCCTAGTTTCATTATGGTCCCTTACAAACTAAATTAAAATGTACTAGCCTCTAGTCACTATGCATCAGATGGTCAAGGAAATACAATTATGGTGGATTAAGCTTGGGTATCACAGGGTATAACTGATTGCTTTACTTAGTCTCCAGATTTTTAACTAAGAAAAGCCAATATTCAAAGACATGACTAGCCACGTAAGCATTCAGCATCTAATTTTTCTTTCTCACAAGTCAGAGTGTGTGGAAACTTATAAAACAACGCAATCCTGTTTTAATACTAATACGTAGGTTTACGTGAGTGCACTTATTTTCTATAGGGGTTTGTTGAAGTTCATCCATTGGCTCTTGGTAACATGAGGACAAGTGTAGTAGTGTGTGGAAAAGCAATTTATATTCTCATAGTGTTTTAAAGCTTTCTTAAAATGTACTCATATCCATTTAATAAGTAGGGGTGTTATAAAGGAATCTTACTATTTGACGCCTTTCAGGAATTTGCTTTTTTAAAATTCTTTACTCACTTCAGAGTCAAATGAGTCAAGCAAACACCTTGAAATGCCTAATTGAAGAAGACGCATATCTTCCACCCAAATCAAGTAGACCCTAAGAATGACAGAAAGTTGTTCCTTGCTGTGCTAGCTACCTTTCTAAATGTAGTCATCCCAGCAGTCACTTCAGTCACCACTTCTCATCTAGTCATTTTCATTTACTAGAGTGCATTGGCTCAGCCTCTGACAAAACAGCAGCTACATGCAGGGCCTATAATGTGGGAGATGTCTCACAACCCTCTGTGAGAGCTCTAGGAACTTCTATTGGAAGTCGATAACAGCTTCATTTGTCACATGCCCACTGAAAGGAACTCATTCCTTGTTTTCAGACTGGGTGGGATGAAAGCCAAGAGCTTCCAGTGCTCGTTGTGGATGTTAAGGTAGAATGTAGATCGGCAGCATCCAATGGCAGATAGGAAATGCCAGAGTGTTGGTCCTCAAGGGGACTAACACAGTTTTCATCTAAAGCAGAAAGCGATTTTTTTGCTCTAGGGACTGGGGCTACCCTGTTTGCTTCATCTGATTCGTAGCATAAAAGGTATAAGAACTGGTTTGTAATTGGAGGTCAACAATGGAGAGATACCAGTGCTCTCAGGCAGAGGAAGGGGGAGTCAAACTTCAGCTAAGCTGAGGACCTTTTAGATGTCTCAGTAACCGTGAAAGGTGCCAGAGGGAAATGCCATCTGCAGTGGTGCTGATGCTGAGGGACTGCTAGGAACTGGATATGAGCATCTATTATGTAGGCTGTGCAAATCCCTCTTGAAGACTTGTCGGACTGCTAAGATGCTATTTACCACTATGTTCCTGAGTTTTCCTTTTCTGTCCTGGACTGTGTCATCTGACTAGGAAAGATGTGTTTGCACTAATGTTGTAAACTGAGAGCCAAAGAAAGATAGAGCTTCTCTGTGTTAGACTTTTGAGTATGCCCAGAGGCCAAGGGGCAGGGGACTTCTGAGTCTAGTCCCATTTGACAGATATACAGCTTACCTGTAAGAATGATTAGATGCAGTGTAGGATCTTTGAGGTCAGGGTGAGTGTCTTGATCACCTCCAGGCCTAGCAAAGTGGCTGGCACACAATAAGGTCCATATACATTTGTTGAATAAATGAAGGAATGAAAGACTGATTAAATGATTAAATACATGAAGAAAGCAGATAATGCCCACCTTCTTCTGCATTAGATTGAGACCCTGCTTTCTTGTAGAACAAGAAAATCTGGTCTACGCAAGACATTTAAATGATTTAGGGATAATGACCAATGCACTATCACATTTTTAAAATAATCTAAAATTGTAAGGTCAGGTCAAGGGGAAAGCAGGATTTGATTTACAAAACTTCAGTGCATATACAATGTCTTAGAAACATGTCTACTATATAACGCAAGGTGTTTTTTTTAATTAAGATTGCAAAAACAAATTCACCATGAAATGATGTTTAAGTGCTTTTTTTTTGTTCTTTCTTTCAGGTAAGTGAAAGATATCTTCTGAAGTGTTCTGCAGAAACTGTGCAGGTGGCAGAGTTGTCTTAGAAGAAAAAGGAAGGCAGGGATCCTTGAAATGGTAATATTTCAGCTGTTCCATACACACAGGAAGCATCTCACATGTTTTCGCTTGTGTGGTTACACCTGTTTATTTCACTATAACTTGATATGGCTTAAACCTCAAGATCTGCAAGAATTGAGCGTTTTTATGTATCTGTGTTTGAGAGCCATTTCGTATCCTAATCCAAATCTTCTGCAGCCTACCCTCAGCTGAAAGCTCATTCTATATGAATTGCTTCAAATTGAAATGTCGTTTCTAAACAGATCTGACAATAACAGATACACAATTTACTCTAAATAGTATATGAAATATATATTATATGTATGTAAATATACATTTGTGACTGCTTTCTTTTCATAAGTTTCTTCCATTTGAATATGAAGTGCCTTATTTTTTACGTTAATGGAAGCATTATCTGTTTAGAAATAAACCTGTAGCCTGTTAGATTTCCAGTCAAACTGATAAGACAGTGGAAATGTACTACAGATTTTAGTCATGATACAATTTAGCTTACCAAACTGGCTCCTTGACAGCTAGTGACTGACAAAAAACTTGATTTACAAAACTTCAACATATTAACAACTCCAATTTGTAGTGTAAGATCTGAAAACATTTCACATGAAACAGAAGTAAGGGAAGAAGATATACCTAAATATTAAGTGAAAGCTTTATGAGATTATATTATTATAGCAGATTTTAGAAGTGTAATTTGCTAAATGGACCTGATTGATTCAAAGATTCAATTTATACCACCAAACTAGGATTGTCTTCCTATTTTCAACAGCAAAATCCATTTGGGTGAGTTGTTTGTATTTGGGAATTTCCTCCACAATTTTCTTTTTAAATAACCTTTCTCATTTGCTGAGTAAGTATTTACAGCTGGCTTCTTATGAAACATTAAAATATGTCCTAAAGCTCCCTGTGGAGTTAGCAATACAATGCTGGGTAATTTGTGTTATTCTAATGCATGGTCAAGTTTCTCCCTGCCAATCATAATGTAAACATGCGCAATGAAATGTAAGTCATCTATTATCAAAAGTGCATTTACCAAGTGTTGATAATATGATAAAGACAATTCAAAGCTAACAAGAAATAGACCCTGCTCTCAAGAGTTCAGCATTTTAGGAGTCGGCAAGACATAGCAGACGTGGAATAGCTTCATAATGTAAGAATTTTAAAAGTATTATCATTTTTTTAACATAGGAAATACATGTATAAAATTAAAGGCCTAAACCATCATTTGAATTCTAGAAACTGTGAAGTAAATATTTTTCTGTTCTTTTAATTTATGTACCTTTTTCCTTTCTAAGAAAAGACTGTCATATTCATCCCTATCAGAAAATGTTTTAGGTTATAGACAGAAAACAATAAAAATAATAAACAAATAAGTAAATAGGGAAAAAAAGTAGAAAAATATCCCCAGTTCTTAAGACAGTTGGTTATTGCCCTGTGGGGAAGTGACAGAAACTCAATTAGAGAGTATTTAATTTTTTAAATTATAATCCATCCTGGAGAATACATAATTTAACAAATTATTTTGTGAATTTATAGAAAATTAGGTAACATGAACGACAGCTACAAAAGTAACCCCTTCCATGGCGTGATGCGGACAGAGCACAGCAACATGAACACGTGTCCATCTCCACCTGCCCAGGGTGTGCTTGACTCCCTCGGTCTTAAGGACTGCCTGGTGACTGTTACAGAAATGAGCTGAGGGAAACGTCAGTGAGTCTTAAGGGTTCTTCTTCCTCATCATTCCCTAGAGCTTGACCCAGGGAGAAGTCTGTGTGAATTGGAGGAAGGGTGGGAGAATCATGGGAAAAATCCATGGATGCAGGAAAGAGTCAGAAAATTTAGCTCATTGAGAGCTCTCTCTTTCTATTTGAAATTCCCTTCCACTTCCCAACCCTGATTCTTAGTCCAAAGATGCCCCAAGATTTGTCTCTCATTTTCTCAGTCTGTGAGCATCACCTGCTGTCTGTGTTTCTATCTTACACATAGACAAAGGACTATCTTTTGATAATCTGGGATTCTGGAGAGACACCAGCTAATAATATGAGAAGTGCATTTAACTTCCTAATTTTATTTAATTAGGCATTTATCTATACCCTGTCTCATTTTCCAAAGGATTCAAGGAGTTCAAATGAAATAGTAAACAGCAATCCTGCCTTTCATATGATGATTGAAAGACTGTGCGTGCCAATACTGAAGCTTTGGTTAATCTGAGGAACTTCTGCTCTTAGCAGGGCGATCAGTTACATAATCCAATAAATTAATTCAATTCAAAAAATACTTTCAAGGACTTGCACAACCATATGCATGATGATATGTTAAGCAGAAAGATAAGGTAGTAAAATATAGCTCCTGCCTTCAAGGACTTTACAGCTTAGGACTCCTCTCTGATTTCTTTTACTTGGTGTCTGGTGGCTCAACCTTTAGTCACTTAACTGATAACCACAGTTATCTCTTAGTCACATAACTGATAACTGCACTTTATGCCTCTTTCACAGAACAAGAGAAAAAAGTCAGTCGTTTAGCACAGAAGTCCTTCCTCTGATGGTCGGGTGGAACTGGATTTGATGCAACTGGTTCAGAGGAGATTTTCATGTTATCAGTGTGGTTGTATACAATATTTTGGCTTCTTCACTAGCTTGGATAATCAGGTTGTGACAATTATAGTAGTTGTTTCATGAGGTATGATAATCACGTCATGACATTTTTATGCCTCATTCACTGTTATGATTTCACAGCTCCACGCCAAACACTGGTTTACACAGTATTAATACTGTGTCGTGGTGTTGTGCACACCAGGTAGAGTGACACTATTGTACGCAGAGTTCAGAATGTTGTAGTCATATATTGATTATTACCATGACATCTAATAAAAGAGTATGTATTTGTAATGTAAGATTACAAAACCAAGAAGGTCATAATATTGGATGAGAGTTGACACAAATTAGTTTAGACTTTGAGCTTTCAATGAGTTTGCTAATGGAAAAAAAAATAAGAAAAAAGATTTCTTTAACTGAGTATATGAACTAGAGAACTGCACGATCTCACTTTTCTTTTGTGACCCCAAGTCCCCGTTTTCCTGGTGTACTCCCTGCTTTATTTCCTGCTTAGTCTTTGTCTGAGAGTCTTATTTCAAGCACTTCTTGCACTGAAAGTGGGATGGCTGTTAGAGCTCGCTGCATGTAGTTGTCATCCTGAAATTAGTAAGAAAGCATTGTTACAAGACTGCATGGATGTCCATAGAAGATGGGGCAATATAGTTCGTTTATTAGAATCTGGCTACTTTACAATCAACACGCACTAAGTTGGGAATCCACAGCACCAGAATGAGAAAATTTTCTAATCTTCGATTTATCCCTCTGAGAACAATAATCTCCTTCTCAGAGAAAAAAATAACCTCTTCTGGAAAGTAAAGCGAAGGTAAAACTAAGTTGACAGAGTTCGAATGCTATGTGCAGCATCTAGTTCAGATACAATTTTCAAAGAATGAATTTTAATGCACACAGCCCTATTAGCACAGGATCAGATTCCTAACAAATTGGTTGGACATGCAGAAAGAGTCTGTGTCCTAGATTTAAAGTCATTACAGAGTTTTAAACACAGCTGTGCAGCAAGCCTTTCACTCTAGATGGACATGAGCAAACTGAATGGTTCTGAAGGTGATTGGCTGTTGGATTTCCCACAGCACAATTTTCAATAATGACAAATCTAATGAAATCAGTATGACATTATTTAGCAAGAGAATGTGTGTCCTATTTTGTATAACCATCAATGACTACTTAAGTATGCACAAGATTATGAATGCACAAATATTTAAATAGATCCAGAGGCACCCATAATTCTTCAGTTGAAGGGAGGGATGTGTACCCAGCTCTGCCATTATCTTTATCCAACAAGGGATGAAGATAATCCTATTCTTTGTATTGAAACCTTACCCAATTTTCTTCCTATCATTCCTGAATTCTGGCTTCTTACTATTTCTAATCATTTCCTGGAAATGACCATTTCAGTTGAGCATATGATACATTTCTATTTTAAGTTTAAATGTTTTCCTTTCTATAATAAGGAATATACACTTGTATAAGGATTACATGTCAAGAATATTGCGTATGTAAACTACCAACCATGTGTCATTGCTTCATGTGGACTATGAAGATGTCAAGAAGGAAAACAGTACTTTCATTCTTTTTTTTTTTGATGAGCTTGGCCCTGAGCTAATATCTGATGCCAATCTTCCTCTTTTTGCTTGAGGAAGATTGCTAACATCCGTGCCAATCTTCCTCCATTTTGTATGTTGGATGCCACCACAGCATGGCTCAATGAGCAGTGTGTAGATCCGCACTAGTGATCCAAACCTGCAACCCCTGGGCTGCCAAATCAGAGCCTGAGAACTTAACCACTACACCACTGGGCTGGCCCAAGTACTTTCATTCTTAATTTTGTGCCATATGAAGCTTGGGATAGAAAGATGTGCATACATCTTGTCAAATGAAATCCTAATCAATAATAGAATATTAGTAAGAGACAATGGCCATAGAAGTGAAGAAAAATAATTTCTTGTGAAATTCACTCATAGTGCTTATGTCTCTTTGCAAGAAACATGCATTATAAACTGCTCAGTTTTGTTGTATAGCTTTATATTTGATACTTATGATTTGTGTGGAATATAAATAAGAAATATGTGTGGGATATATATAGGAAATTTGTGTAGTTACAAAGGATCAGACTTCCAGTCATCTTGTAAACGTAGCCAAGCAGTCTGCAGTCTCAGGGAAGCCAGCACAAATCCCTGGGAAAGAGAGGCCAGGAGGTAAAGGCTTTCCTATCATGACGGAAAGTTTTCATGATTGAACCAAAGGGTTCAGGTACACAAAGTACAAAAACAGAAACAGCTATTTTGCAGTTTACTGTCATTGTCCCAGGGGAGCATACATCCTTTCTCTTTTTAGTAAGAAGAGCCTATTCTGAGCAATGAATATAATTAGTTAATAAATTACCCCAGCTTTATACCTTAAGGATCTTAGCTTCAGGGAAATTGTAATAGTGGGCAGTTAGTAAAGACATGGGCATTCTATCAGGGGGCCATCCTGAAAGTTAACCAACAGAAGCTGATCCTTTTAAGTTATGTTGTAAATCCAAGTTAAAACCAGAGAGCTTGTTTACAAAAAATGGCAGGAAGTTAAGTAAGAGCTTTTGTAGAATATCGTGGAGATTGAATATACTTGTTTTCCTCTGAAGGTTAGCAGATTGTTTTGTGTCACTAGAAATTATCTATAAAATGTTATGAGTAATAAGTTTGGTCAAGAACATTACAGACTAGATTTTGAACTTCTTTCAAAAATGACTTAAAATTTAAGATGTATTAGCATGATCAAGAGGAAAAACAATTTATTCTATCTACTTCAATAAACATTTAGTGAATTCCTAAAATATGCTGAGTACTCTTTTGAGGATATAAAGATGAGTACGGTCCTTGTCTTTGAGGAACTTGTGTTCTGGAAAGACTTCACCAACAGGTAAACAGACAGTTTTAGTGTTTGATAAAAGGCAGCCAAAGAAGGGCACAGGGACTCCTGTGAGCACAGTGGAGGAGGGGACCTTGGACCAGCCTACGTGGTGGGGAAGACCTCTTGGGTGTTGGAAGAAATTCTCAGGTTCATCAGGCAAGGAAAGGAGGAAAAGATGTTCTGAGCAGAGACAAGAACATCGTGTACCTGTGTTCAGTTGTCCAATCATGCTGTATGTCACAAATAAAATCCATACAATGATTGGCATATCCTACCCTATTTTTTTTAACCCTCTTGCTTTTCCTCTTGTCGTTGATTGTAAGTATTCCTTTTGGGTTTTAGAAAAAAAGAGCAATGGGAAGGAGATGGAAAATTGAGAGAGGCAGCTTGCTCTGTTCTTGGATAATCTCCCTGGTAGTGTTCAGTTTCCTTATCCTTTCAGAAATAGTAGGGATAGAACAGAAGCTGTTGATTCTATCCATCTGTGTCCATATCAATTAATCACTCCCCCCAACCCACAAGCTTTCAAAAGACAGGAGATTATGTGGTGTCCTCCTAAATCTCTCCTTTCCTTTCATTTGTTTCATTTGAATCTCAGAAAAGAATAATGTTGATCGATTTTGCTATTTAGTAGCATCCTTCCATGTGCTGAGTACAGTGCGATGCACCCGCCATGGAATGTGTTATCTAATCCTTACAACAGCCTGAGAGGCAGGTACTACTTTCCTTGTTTTATACTTGAAAAAACAGAGGCACAGAGAGGTTAAATAACTTCTTTAAATTCATTAAGTTGTAGAGTCAGTGTTTGAACCCAGGCAATTAGACTCAAGGGCTGCACTCTTAAACCTTATTCAATACCAGCCCTTATCTGCTATTTATTCCATCAATGTTTAATATCTTTACAATGTACAAAACGTCCATGTGGATTTTTTTTGTGTGTGCATGAGGAAGATTGTTGCTGAGCTAACATCTGTGCCCATCTTCCTCTATTTTGCATGTGGGATGCTGCCACAGCGTGGTTTTGATGAATGGAGTAGGTCCCTGCCTGGGATCCAAATCTGTGAACCTCAGGCTGCCTAAGTGGAGCACACAAACTTAACTACTATGCCACTGAGCTGGCCCCCACATCTGGATTTTTTTTTATGGCTTACAGCATTTTATAGAATTTAGTGCACTTTCAGTTCATTATTTCATTTTGATCCTCAACAGAATTCTGTTAGGTAGACCACCCAGATAGTAAAATTTCATAGATGAGAAAACTAAAACTCAAAGGGCTTGAGTTGATCAATGTCTCACAATTAAGGAGCAGCAAGTCTCAAGCCTGAGTCTTTTGACCTACTTTACAGTTCTTTTCAGAGCAGGAGTGCTGGAACTATCATTGTAACATATGAGGGGGAAAGAAAACCTGATCATGGAAGTGACACATACAAGGTCAAATGCTGAATCAGTGAAAGATCCAACATCAGAACTACGTCTCTAAATAACTATTCCAGTGTTTTCCTCAGTGACATCATTTGAAAATCTTGAGCAGATTTTGTGGTAGTTAGTTATTTTCATTGCTAATAATCTTGGTTAGCTTGTATACTACCCCGATGTCTCATGTGGTTGGGGTTAAGTAGAAAGCTGTGATTTCCAAGTCATTATAAAAATGAGAACAAGAGCAGAAGTTTGTGTACCATAGTGACTTTTAAAGTTACTACCTTTCTCTAGCTAATTATATAGTCGTGTTATGGTACTTCTATTTCCAAGATAGATGTATACACATACAGCTGATTATATATAGTGATGGAAATCTATTGTTTCCTCTTAACATCATTAAGTACTCATTTCCTAGTCTCATACAACTTTCTATTTTCTTGTAGTATTAATTTTTTTGAGCTACAAGAGAGGCATCATACCAAGGTAGGAGAAAGCAAAGGCTAGTTCACCTAGCTCCACCACTTAGAATTATGTCATGGTTGGCAAACTATTTAAAATCTCTTGGCCACAGTTTCCTCATTTTTAATATGAGAATAGTCATTCTCAAGTAACAGGGTGTGTAAAATATATTGCCTCCCATATAATAAACGCTCAGTTAATAGTGTGTATCATTGTTATTATCACTGGCACATAATTTGTGCTTAATGTTTATTTATTTGTTTATTTATAATAATATATTCAGCAATTCAAACCACTATTGTTTTGTAGTAGGTAAAATTTGTTGTTAGAAGTCATATTCACTTTGGTGCTCTCCTTTTCCTTCCGTAGAACCCCTTCTCCCAAGCTGGTAACACGGTGTGACAAAAAGCACAGATACGGAACCAGACATATCTGGGTACAAAATTTGTCCTTGCTACTGAATTGCTCTATGTCTATGAGGAAGATATGTGACTTCTCTGAATCTCAGTTTTCTCACCTGAGGTGAGAATAACAATGGTGGTGATTTATGACTGTTGTGAAAATTAGATGAAATGAAATGTAAAAGATATAGCACAATATGTGGCTTATGGTAGATTTTTGGCATAGATTGGTGACTTTTTCTTTTTACTTTCTTGCATACCTAGGCATTCCTTACCCCATTCCTTTATCCTCCTAGCCAATCACAGCAGTGTATAAATAACTGAGTGACACCTCAAGGTAGAGTCATCTACTGTGTAGGGCAGGAGGAGACTAACAAATAGAGACTTAAAAGGAAGAGATGGAGACAGACTTCTGGTCACCCTCCCACTTAGACTCTGTTTTCCAGCCACATTAGACAGCTTACCATTCACCGGTCTTTTAAGTCGCTAAAATACTGGGTTATGGTATTCTTTCTTGTAAAAATATATGCCTCATTTTTATCTTCCTAGAGAGTTTCTTCTCCTTTACTAAGACCCTTCTTAAATGGTACTTCCTTTGAGAAGGGATTGCCAATTTACACACGCACACATACACAATCATACTCCTCACTGAATTTTACAGCTGCCTGAACTTAACCACATTTGAAGGCAATCATTCTAAAATGCATAACTTAGCCAGAAAATTCCAAACATCATTAGCATTGTTTAGCCGTTTCTCAATGGATCCAGGACAATTATTATGGACCAGGTATTTGGACAGTGTGGTAAAAGGCTGTCAGCCATCACCTCTGTCCGTACTTTACCTGCCTCAGACAGCTTCTGCCCTTTTCTAGTTTGCTTCTACTAATCTGTCAGAGGCTGAGAAGCCAGATAACTAAGCTTTAAAAAAAATTGCACATTTAAAAAGTCAATATAGTTCCACATGAATCCCTAAGAGCCTTAATGCAAGGCTTTGGGGTAGACATTTCCGGCTTCTCTGAGGCCTTTATCAGAGACTTCTGACAAGCTGGACCTTCTGGATAAGTGGGGAGTTACTGTATTTTAATCCATTAATGTCTACTTTATAGAACTACAGAATAAAAAATGTATATGTAAACGGAATTTAAATCAGAAAGTGAGTGCAAACTCACCTAAGCTATTTAAAGTATAATTTAACATCAAAACATTCAGTTTATATTCAGCTTGTCCATTACAGAGTTGAGAGGTAAAGGGCCCAGAAGACAAGAACGAGGACCAAATTGGTAGATTATCCTCTGCTTACACTTCAAATAAACCAGCTAATTGTTTATTTATTTGCCTAGCAGTTGCTGCCTTGATTATAGGCCATTAGTGACCATTAATAAATGAAATTGTGTTTTCATTTCCCAAAGCAATTCTGAATTCCATAAATCTTGCATTTCTCATTAAAGATGTTCATTTTTATACATGCTTGATTAACAAATATGATCAAGGCCTACAGTACAACTTTAAAAGTAACATGGAGCCTTTAGAACAAAAACAACAGAAGAATAATTCATGAACTTTCTTATTGTTTTCCTGGGATATTTGTCTTTAAGTGTTTGTTGTTGGAAGACTTGACAATTAAGTAAAATATTAAGATATATTTGCTCTTCACTGAGAATAGTAACAGCAATTCGTATGTATAGAAGCACTTTATGGTACATATAATGTTTTAATATTTATCATATTTGAGTAATTGCATATTATCTCCATTTCATACAAAGGAAAATGGAGACTTCAAGAATTAAATCATTGTTCAGACAGAACTGCATTGAAATTTTGACTCCTCTAGTGATTGGTTATGTGATAGGACAACTTAATTGACATTCTGAATTTTCATCTCCTTATTTTCATCTCCTATTGAAAACAGAGCTAATAATAAATATTTTTTAGTTATCTTGACAATTAAAGACATGTTAGGGAAAGTACTGGACACACTGCAGGAACTCAATTGCTATGCTCAAAGTACTAACATGTACTTTGTTTTCCCTTCTCCATTAAAGCATATCGTCTTATTTTGTAACAATTCTAACATTTGTAGAAGAAGACACCATATTAAATTATTATATAAAGTTCAGTGCCCTGATGAATTCAGAAAATCAATGTATTAAAAAATATGTTGAGTTTATGGTAAAACATACTCTAGTGAATGAATATCTTAGACTTGGAAAGACATTTTACTATACATTGTTTAGATCAATGCTAATCGCCTTTGTCTCTGCCAAATATGTATCAGGTGGCAAAACTGTTCTCACTGTTCGTATTAATTTACAGAAATGTAGTATGTGAAATGGAAATGGCACTCTAATGGGAGTCAGAAAGTACTGGTTCTAGTCATGAGCTGTGTCACTAACTGTGTGACTCTGAGCAAGTTACTAGACTTCTTTGGGTTTCATTATACTCATCTATAACTTGTAGAAGTTGAAAAAAATAATTCCTAAGGCATTTTCCAGCTGTTAGGAGAGAAAATTCCCATCCTGTATTCTACAGAATGGAGGTTCATTGAGATATTAGATTTTCCTTTAAAGAAAAAGTTAATACTCAAATAAATCTGAGAAATACTGAATAGCATCTCCTCCCTTAGATAATTCACAATGCAAAGTAGCATATTAAAGGCTCTGAAATGTCCTGTTCTAAAGACATCCTGATTAACTTCTGCATTGATTATGGTTGGCATTAATTAATCAAGGTCAGCATTCCCCAATCTTTTTGGACCATTGCACCTCTTTTCTGCGGGAAGGGGTGTGGTTAAGAAGTGAAAAAGACATCTTCATCTTTCCAAGAGTAGGTGTTAGGTAGAATAGGTAGCACACTGTTTTACAAAATACTGATTTTTATAATTTCTCAATTTTCTAAAATCTAAACTACATTTTGAAATATAATGAAAATGTGAACCCGTGTAAATAGAAGAATTTACCCAGATGGGATTAACTACACATGCATATAAGTAGATTGAGGCATTTAGTATTCCCATCTCTCCTAGTCCTCCACTGCACATTCAGGAGAATTCTGAAATAATTTCGGAGCAATGAGTACCTTTTAGATCCAATGAAATCTCCTTCAAAGAAGCTCTTCATTTGCAATAGCAGGTAGTTTGAACAGTGGGGCAGCCTTGGAGTGAGGACATCCAGCTTTGAATCCTATCTACCCTTCAAGCCTCTGTAATCTTGGGCAAGTTACTTAACTTTCTTGAGTGGACATTTCCTCATTGATAAAATGGAGACACAGTTACTTATCTCACAGCTTCATTGTGGGTATTAATTGAGATAAGGGGTGTAAAAGAACTTGTTAAAGTATAAAGTTCTACGTAAATGGGAGAAGTTATTAATAGAGTCTCTGCTCAGTAAGTATGTCTAAAATTGCTAATCGTAGGATTAGAAGGATTGCAATCAACTGTCCCCCTAGCTTCACTTTTCAAATAAAATATTAAGGCATAGAGAAGCTAAGTGAGTTTTCTCACGCCACCTAGCTGGCAGGGGGAGAGCCAGCGCTCTGAGCTGATTCATCTGACTCGAGTCCATTTCTTTCTGGCACAAGCACACTGGCTCAGTTTGTGTATGGGGGGGTATACTCTGCCCTTCAACATTTTCATTTTCATGAGTCAAATACTTCAGTCATTAAAAAACATCATCCATATTCTAAGAAAGGCAAACCAATGATCGTTCTTGAAATATTACTGCTTTCTTTATTTTAAAATTGTTTCCTTGTTTTTGCCATTAAATAAACTTAATTCTACTTTTCTCATTTATTTCATTTACTTTTTTAAAAAAATTATTGGTCAGTCATGTCTTTTATTTTCCATTATTTCTCTACTCTTTTTGGTGGTAAGCTATGATTTTATTCTCTGCAGATTTTTATGTATTGCATATATTTTTAAATTTATGATAAATCTAGAATGTGATAAACTCTGAAAGTGGATTATACCTGGGTTATTTATCAGCTATGTGTATTTCATTTCCTTAATCTAATTAGTTCTTTAGAATATAAAGATGTACAACTTGTAGTCAGTGGATAATTTGGTTATAGATAAGTCACATAGAACTTCCATTTTGTAACTATAGTTCAAAAAAAGTACTGGTAACATCTCAGGCTTATTTCTCATCACTGCTAAGGATAGAAATATGTTGCAATGAGCATAAACTGAATCTCAAGAGACTTGGGTTGATTTTAGAGTGTTTACCTGATGGTGAAGGTTGTTACAACTGAAATATGTTAGTATAAGAAATTATTTCTTTTGAAATCTGAATAAAATATCATGATTCTGAAAGTTTTTTGTTTTCCATGGAAATCTGGAATAAGATGGGCTCTCTCATTTTTTTAAATAGTTCTATTTAAGGTGAACTTGAAGGCAAATCCTTCCATTTCTCTCTCCAACAAAAGTTGGCCAAGCTACAACTCTCATTTTCCCACGTGGAAATATAACCATCATCTAATGATATTCTGAGAGATACACACGAAACTTTAGCAAATAGCTCTTTAGAAATAGGTGATATATCCCCATTAAAATGATTTATTCTACTTAGACTTTAACAGATTTGAGAGAAGGTAGCATATCAATAGAAACACTGCACTGAGTATTACTAGCTCTATTTTCTGATTTCCCCTTCAGCACTAACCCAGCTATGCAGCTTAGGCAAAGAAACTAATCTCTCTCAACTTCACATTGATAATGTACAAAATGAGGCAGTATTACTTGCTTGAAGCACTCTGGTAGGCTGTATGTGTATGTGGGGTCTATCCTAAGACCTAATTCTATGACTTCCCAGGTCATGACAGAAAGACAATGAGTCACTTCAATTGAATGTGAATAAAATCATTTCTTTCTCTAAATTATTGCTGCTAACTCACCCTTGAGCAGAAAGAAAATTCTTATTTCAAATAAGAAGTAATAGCATTTTACTGTATTTGCAGATATGGAAAAATGAACATTGATATTAATTCATGTTCTTTTATAAAGGTAATTACTTTCATCAGTGGGGAAGTCCAGGACCTTACCATGTGTCTTAGACTGGATTACCTGGGAAACAGACTATGAGAAGGAAATTTGCTTGCAAGAGACTTAGTGAGGAGCACTCTCAAAACAACACCTGTGAGGGATGAGGGAAGCAGAATCGGGCTAAAGGAGAAGCTCAACTGTGATGTACTTTCGCCCATTCTATAGGGAGCTCAGGAGCTGAGATGGCACTTCAGGTTTGTCCCAATTGAGGCAAAAGATAGAAGAGGCCCACTGTAACCAACATGTACCAAGTGACTTGTTATTCTTCTTGAGGGATAGTGTCATATCAGCAACTAAACTTTGGTCTCTGTGGCTGGTAGTTTGGACATTTGGCAGCACCAACAACTAGATCAGACTTGGTGAGTGGGAGCCCATGTATTTAGGCTCATACATAGTCTATATTTCTGTCACCATGGCAACTCCATTCATGTGCACATTGTGCTGATAACAGAGGATGGAAAATATCAAGTGACTGGCTCAATCCTTCTGCTGGTTTTATTAGTGCCTCTTCCTTCAGAGTTGCTCTTTGGTAAGCGTCAATATGAGAGTCAAAGCTCTTCATTCTCCCTGGACTTCCAGAAGCCCTTCCCCATGCCTCTCCTCCAGATACCCTTGAACACAATCTTTCAATCATTCTCCTTGCAGATCCTTGGACAACCACCTAAAACATTGACTATTGCCTGTGAGTCCCAGTATATTTTTGCCCTAGGACAGGTCTATTTTACAAAAATATATCCACTCAGGTGTACTACTCAAATCTCTGCCCAGTGAGAGAATTTTCCCTCTTGCCTGAATGGGACTGTATTGGAGCAGCTGTCCATCTTCAGCTTGCACTCACATATTGCAACGTTCCCTCCCTGAGCCAAACTCAGACCTTTTCCTTCTCTCTCAGCTTTTTGTAAGAGACTCTCCTCTACTTGCCCCTCACACACGCACATACCAGATGTATACACAGGTATAAACTGAGGAAGGACGCAATATAATAGAGGACATGAGATCTGAACCACGTGTTCAAGCAGCCTTTTTGTACTCTCTGGCCTTGTTTATGCCTGATTCTAGATTTCTCACATTCATCTTATGAGGCATTACTGCTGGGCCTACCCTACCTTGTGACTTGGTGGTTCTGACAGAACTCAGCTCATGATGGGAAGCTCTGGCCCCATGGTCACTTGATATTCACCATCAGGCACTCCATTTCTACCAGTATCAGAAGTTGTTTTCCAAATGGTGTATATCTCACGGACTTGCTCTCAAACCCTGGGTGTCTATATTCTTCTCCTATTGTGCTTGTTATAACAGCCTAAGACCTTTTCTCATGACAGATACTCATAATACCATAGATTCTGATGAGTCGTATGGTCCAAGTGGCAGGATTGCAAGGACTGAAGACTAGATCGGCTACACAGCTCTTTCCTACTCCAGGCCCCTCTCATAGCTGTCAGCTTTCCCTATCACTCAGTAAATGGGTCAGAACAGTTTTTTTAAGTGTAAAATATTCTTATGCCTGGAATCGTAGAGGTGTAGCTGGCGTTATGTCTTGTGGCTAGAGGTGCAAGATGCTATAGTGGGTCTTTTCCTTTAGAGGGGATGTTCTGGCATAGTCAAGATGATGGGACCCCTAAAAAGTCACTGATACGACATATCCCTGAATCTTTGTAGCTCACAAAGCCCTTAGCAATTTTTGCATATTGAGTCCATTTTAAACAATGTTCTCAAAATAGTGGACAAATGTGATCTGTGGAATGTCTCTACGATCCAAATCCCCTTGCAGTATATTATGACAGAAAATGAAAAATTTAACCAGTCCTCTGGTAAGATTAAAATATTCTTGCTTTTCCTAAGTGAAGATGAACTACTTCTCGTTCTTATTGATAGAGATCGAAAAGAACACATCTACCAGACCAATGTACCATGTCCTTCAGACTATCTTAATGTGTTCCAACAAAGACACCACATCTGGCCCAACAGCTGCAATTGGGCATCACTTTGTTGCTTTGGTGGTTCACTATCATCTTTCAGAATCCTTCTGGTTTTTGTTGGGGCTGAACTAGTAAATAAATGGGGATATCGTGGCAACTATCACCTCCACCACCTTTAAGACTGGCCCTAATTCTGGCATTCTGCCATTCTTCTCACAATGCAATATTATTTGTGATTTTCAATTTTGACTGGGGTAGGGACAGCTTCAGAGACTTCCACATGGCATTCCCCTCTATGATAGGTCTTATCTTCAAACCAAGGAACCTGCAGGAAGATTCTGTCAGCTACTGAGTATGTCCATTTCAATTACATGTGCTGAACTCAATGTTAGCTGACCTGGGCCAGGACTCTATTTAATACCTGGCCCATGTGTAGTCTCCACTCTAGCAAACATAACGGCCATTTTGAAGCTTCAGGTAAATGGATAATAAAGTCAAGTTGAGCCTTTATCCAAGAGTCCTTGAAATATCTAGGTATCCCCATTTTCCCAGGGTATGATTACTTACGTAAATGGCTATAGGCCATAGGTAAGATCTAGATTGCAGGAGCCATCCTGATGGAGACCTAGTCTCTCCCTCCATCAGAGGGTTCCAGGTATGAGAAGTAGCTCATATCTGAAAACTGGGCTTGAGATAGGGGCTTTGTATTTAAGCACTTGCTTTCAGCCTCCTGATCATACATCCTTGGTTTTTGTTTTTGGTTTTTTTGGGTTGTGTAAATTGAGTAATACCTTTCTTGGCTGCTTGTTTATCTTGGTCCTGGGAACATTGTATTCCATTAACTATTTCCAAAGCTCTGTGTGAATCAGACCCACTTGCCTCCCATACCACCATACCCTGGCCTGGCTGCTCCTCTGTCAATGCCACTCATTACAATAATTGCACATTCTACTTTGAGTCTGATGGTTAAGGACTTCTATGTGGCCTCTATTATTTTGGGATACAACCATCTCTATTTCTATTAGAGAGCCCAGTTCTTTAATATCATCTCTTACCATCACCTCTGGCCTATAGAGAATGGTCACCACTGTGTTTATTGATTCTTGTACCTTTCTTACCTGCAAATTCCATATTACTTTGGTAAAAAAAAAACTATTGTTCATGGAATAGAGTCATCTGGTAGGCTTTCTGAGTTTGGGTGTATATACATACTGTTATGCCTGTTTCTCTGAGCCTCGCCACTATTTTCTATGAAAGATTTAGCATTTTTACTCAACTGGTGTGAACCATCACTGTATCCAAGCTTTCAGAATTATCCTAGGAGCATTGTCCACCAGTGTCCTTGCAAGGGTGTTAAATCCTGTATCATGGGAGAATGCTGCCATATTAATAAACTCTTCTTTATGCAACTTTATATTTCATTCTTGCAATCAGCATCTTCAGGATCCACTTCCATATGTACTAGCTCGTAGGATCCAGGCCCATATATACAGCCCTGGTTCCTACTAATACATGTTAGCTAAATCCTCAAGGCCCTTCAGAATATCATCCCTTTGTTTCCCTTAATAGGTTCAACACTTCCCTAGCCAGATTATGTTGAAACTTTATCCTAATTATTTTCCTGATATCCAGAAGGAGAAGTGGTGGTAGCTCTCAGAGGGCTTGTCGTCTTGCAATATAGAACTTCTGTATTATCTTCAAACAAGGGAAGACTACTAGCTTTTTGCAGGTAAGTTGGAATTCTTCCAGAGGCCTAGAGTGCTCAGGGAATCCTGAGGATTCACAGTTTTTGAG